GGGCGGTGACTCGGTTTGGCATATAGGTGGCCGGCAAGTCCCACACAAGGGGAAACGTAGTCTCGAACGCCCCGTAGCGCGTGCCATCGGCAGTGGTTGTTGCTGTTGTTGTTTTTCTTCTTTTGTTTTACCGTCGGACTGTGTTCGCGGCCTGCCGGGCACATTGCACTACAGCAACAAAAAGAAGAACTGCCGATGGCACAGCGCTACGGATTGTCCCATTCTCCCTTCTCCGTTTAAACGAGCTTGCGACTTGTAGTAGCTCAGATCCCTGATAGGGGGGGCACAGAGAAATAGCCCGGCCCGGGATCGATGTGGTAGAGACTTGCGAAGAGAACTGCTCGACGAGTGTGGGGTGGGGCGCGTACTTAGGTACCCCGGTACCACTGGGTTGTAAGGCCAATGCTCGTTGAGCTTCCTCGACACCTTGTAACGCGACAAGGCCTTCGATGGGGGCGTCGCAACGCAGCCCGACGGGATGAAATGAAAGTAGCAGCGCTACGTCAACTGTGCCGCCCGATGGCACGAAACACCTACACCGGTTCGGTCGCAACCGGGGCCGATGGCACCAACACTGGCTTGTAACGCGACGAAGCCCTTCGAGGGAGACGTCGTTGCAACAGTCTCCGTCGGAAAAAGGGTCACAGTAGCAGCGCTACGTCAACTGTGTCGCCCGATGGCAAAGACACCTACACCGGTTCGGTCGCAAACGAGGCCGATGGCACCAACACAAGATAAGGGAAAAATAGGTACAATTAGAGGTAGAAAAGGATAGGGAAATAAAGGAAAAGAAAAGGGAACCCCCGAGCGCAAAGGATAAAGTAATCTGTAGTTAAAGGGAATGTCTTGTAAAAGACGGACTTCAACCAAGGCGATATCAGACTCTGGCAACTCGGGTTGGTTTATTGACTTGGTCGGTCAAAGGGCTAAGTTATATAGAGCCCCGCCGGGGCGAGTACAGTAGCTCCCGGCTCTAGATTCTAGATCTAATTAGTAAATAAATTAAATAATTAAAATAATCGTGCGCTTCGTCGCACACGTGTGTCCCCCAAACCCGGACTACAGTATCCAATTTGTTTCCATTTTCACTTCTTTTCACCCCCCTTTTCAGGTGCGTATTGC